TGCTCTCTACAAGGTCAAGTTTACTTTTTTCACCACAGAAAGAAAAGGTAAGAGGGAGATTGAGTGCATCTTGAGATTGCAGTAAAGAACGCTGTTGTTCAGGAAATTCGTAATTTAGAAATTTGTTCTTTCGAATTAGTTCTCGATAAATAATGCTACTGTTATATCTCCGCCAGAAAAGTTTAGGGCAAATTTGTTCATTGCTTGTCAGTCAGAGTTTAAATTTGGTGAAGATGTGAAGTTTCGGAATGGCGGCAATTCAAACTGAAATAAGACTTGCAATTTTTAGGTTCTAAGACCACGTTCAGCGTGTGCTTAGCAGGAGCAAGATATCGCTACAAAAATTGTATTTGCAAGGAAAAGAATATTAGTATAAAAAGAAAATGTTGGATCTGATCCTAATCAACTGGGCTTTTGCTAGAGTGAATCTTTCCGTTCCAATCTATGAAACCAAACTAAATTACACTGATTCTTTTTTCATTCTAGATGACCTTCTGCACGGGAAAAGTCCACACGAAGAACTGGAGCGGATAGAAAGGAAATAAAAGCAAAGACTGATACCAAGGTGAGCTACGACCTACGTTCTTTTGGTCAAAACAGGCATAGAATGTGTGCATGTGGCTGCCACTCTAAAGTCAATGTATTGACATGTGGATAAAATGCATGGTGATCAAAGCATTAACTTTTGCATTATTGTTAAGCAATTCAAAGCCGTACTCCCAAAGGCAATAGTTGTTTCCGCAAATGTTTTCTTCATCCAAGAATTGAATGCCTAATGAAGTATGAGGCTGTGTGTAAATCTTGGTAATTTTCACGCAAAAAATTCATTTCAATTTTCGTTGAAAATCATAGTCAGATCGCAAAATTCCTTATTACTTGTGTTAAGGAGAAACGGAAGGAGAAGTTTAGAAATATTTTTGTCAAATATTCTAACCATCGTTATGAGATTGATTAAATATTACCTGGCACCTTTTGCATTGGAATATGTGCGTAACTTGCAACCAGATAGTTTTAACTCTCATAGGACAAAATTTTTTTTGTGGAACTCAGTCACGACGCAAGAATGATTGGAATGTTTACAGAATTGGCGCTCATCGGGGAATTTTAGTTGCATCTTAATGACGTTAACCCCCCCCCTCCCCCTGGCAGTCAATTTTCTATCGTTCTACCTTTATACTCTGTTAGCAACGACTGTTCCCCCTCCATTCCCCCTGTAAATCATGTGACCCCCCCCAAAATTCTCACCCCACCCCTAGTGATGTAATAATAACGAATGGTACCAAAGCTGCCCACAGAGTAGTTAAAAAGATGTCACAACGCAGTCTAGATATGTCGTCCATGAAGACGTTTATAGTTATAATAGATGTCATTTAATAATGATGTGCCTCAGGCTCAGTGAATATTGCTGAATAATCCTCGAGACGAAGTCGAGAGGTTTATTCAACAATATTCCCTGAACCTGAGGGCGAATTTTTTGTTGTTATAAATGCTTAGGCGCTTTTGAATTTTTTTTGATGCTGAAACCATCCTGTTTCAATTTTTTAGTCGTTTCGAGATAAAGAGCCACTTTCCACTAAAATTTCACTGCTTTATTTGATTCAAACAATTAAAATTTAATATCTTTCTGTTACGCCAAACTTGATACCATCTTTTTTTTCTTCGAAATTAAATTTTCTCCTATCGCGTTTATCACTTCCATCGACAAAACGCGAGGCAACAATTATGAACTTTAGCGCCCCTTGCCGTAATCAGCTCGCGCGAGGTGGTCACGTAATCCTCGACCAATCGAGCGTAGCAGTTATACTAAAGACTAATGACTTTGCACAATCTAGTCCCGAGTAAAGATGGCACATTTCCAATATTTTACACCTGAGAAAGCTTCGATGTGTCATAGTAACATGTTATTTTGTTTTCTTTCAGTTCTTTCAGTACACGTTCCTCGCTAATTTGGACCCAAGAATGAAGTGAGGACACAAGGTTAAACTAGAGAAAAACCCAGATGTTCAAGAAACACATTTGGAAATTTATCGTAAGAGGTAAAAACTGTAACATATAGTGCTAGCTATGCTTTCAGTAAATAGTCATGAATTTTTCATTGAACAGATTTAGTAATTTGTCTTGAAAACAAAACACTATAAGACCTAGTCTAGTGCAGGAAAAGTCTCGTCAGGAAAAGTTTTGGATTTTAAAACTTAAATCTGTTTAAACAGTTTGAAATTACAGGTTTTAGGAAAATTCTTTCATACTTTAAGTTCGCCAACTGTTTTTAAAAGGCACATTTTCAGTGATCGTTAATAAGTTTACCCTTAGATTGTTTGAAGTACCTTGCAGGAACAAATTTTTGATCTTAAGTCAATTACTATCGGCTCAAGGAAGTACGATTAGTTAAAAACAAAACAAAACAACTACTTTATAGTCTTAAGTACATTTATCAGACAATCGCATTCATAAATTTATTTTGAGTAAGTTTGCACTTTCTATTTTCAAAAGATGTTCACAATTTTCCGCAGATATGACTTATTAACGATCATTCTTAAAATTCAATTTTATCAATTTTCTCGAGACAATTACAGTCTTAATCAAAATTCGCTTAGTTAGTAGCGATAAAGTTAGACTTACTCTTTCGGTGTTCAGTTATGCTTACCGACATTTTCACTTGTTAGTACATACTTGTACTTAGTAAATAAACTTAAAGGCAAATAAAATTTGTGTTTTCAAATAATATGGTCTCTTTTATGTCTTGAGTTTAAAATAAGCGGAAACAAAGAAATTTTGCGCTGTGAAAAGGGCCTAGTGACAAGTCAAAATATAGGCTATCTCTTTTACTTTTTTTTGCGTATGGAGGGTTGCCGAGGGAAAAAAAAATTCTACGGATTTGAACGGGATCTAGTATTAATACAAAATATATACGTGACTTTTGATGGGAGAAAAGAAACGGCACAATGCAAGATTTTTCTCGCCAAAAGACTTGTATATCTTTTGCTCAACTGAAGACACAATTCAAAACCGCAGACTTTTTTTTCTCTGGACAATTTTCCCGCCAAAAGAATTAGTTTTTTTTGGCGCTCACTTTTCATCGCTGAAGACATTCCCCGAGAGAGAAATTTTGTTTGCAGAATTGCGGTAGGCTTTTTTAATAGCGTAGACTCTTTGATCGATAGTTTTCTTGCAAACATCACTTCCTATGCGTGTGCGCGCATCTTCGCCACGTACTACACAAGAGATGTTTGATAAAACTTTATTTCAGTCAATAAACTTCTTCAATCTTCTTGGAACATCTTTCAAACCTGGAAGAAAAGGAAATGATTGAATGACCTGTATGAGACATACTATACATGAAATTGTACATCAAAAATAAAGGAAATCTGAAAAACCTTTTATTCCCTTTAAAATTCTACACGTTCTTCTGAGCTAGGATTTTGTCTTTTCTTTTCATTGCACGTTGCTTACCATAAAAAAATGTACAGAATCAAAGGATTTGTGCCCTAAAATACATTAAACACACTACTAGCATTGGTTTCTGACATTGTTTACAATGGTCAGATGGGATTTATCTCCCTATACGAGACACTATTTAGGGATGTTCATGAAAGATTCGCTCAACACTTCAATTTTTTTCTTTTTCGTTGCTTTTCTTTATTTTTTTTGCACGACCAATTCACCTTCGTCAGAAGGTAGAGAAATGACGAGAAAGGATGAGACATGAAATTTTCATGAGAATGTCCTCAAATACTAAGAAAAGTTAGATACACCCGCGGTTTAGCGGGAACCGAATTCCGAAAAATCCAGACCACATAAAAACAGTTTTTAACTAATCTGCATATAGTGCATTTTTCTCCATACAACACTCCTTATAAAGCTTGTTTCATGATCCCTCATTGCTATACTAGTGAAAGATGCGTAAACATGATAGCAGTGTAAAATGAAATTTAACTGAGAGAGACAAGCTCCTCTAAGAAATTTAACGAAGACAAGCAATTCTTTGGATATTTTTGACTGGCTTCAAAAACCGAAAAAAGGTTCATGATCGCCCTGACACTGGCCATTTTAGGCTTTAATTGCAACAGAATTTCCAAGTATCGACGACGATCACCTACCTCTCGTATACATAGAAGATACTACCGCGCCCAGACAAGAAGTTGTTCCAAAAAGATATTACAGATCTAAAACTGTGCCTAATTGTCACCTAACCCATCATCCAGTCGAATACTCGAACTATACACCTAAATTAATTTTGTAAGTTCTAGGGTATAAAAAACGTTCACTAACGCTCGCTAACAACCCTTTACATAATCTTGTTGATTTGTTAGGGCGATCCCGGCTAATCTTACAAGTTAATCATTAGTTGGGTATTGAAGAAAAATTGGAAATACTTTTCCCGTTGGTAGCAAAGTTCATTCTCGCGTTTGTTTATTACAATAGAGCAACAAATACAACAATGGCAAGACGAAATATTCGTTAAATTGTACCTGTCATAAATGAAGCTTTCTCAAAGCAAACAAAATTGCTGCTAACTAAACCTTGCGTATATAACGAATATAGATAACTTACCCGTGCTCAAAAGTGACCAAAATCCTGCCAGTTCACAGCTTCACTTAGTTGACTGGGGTTGCTGGTCGTAAACCACGTGCGGAGGCTGTTACTCACCACAAACCGTCATTCAAGACCACCTAACATGTTTGCTTCAATTGCCTGACGTTCGGGGACGTTTCAGGCAACCAAAACCAAAAACTGTATTCAACGGCGCAAGTTACTTCAAACCAATCCGTAAAGCAGATTTCTGAGCAACACGTGGAAAGATCCTGATAAAACTAGTGCGAATACTAAATGAAGTAACATATTTGCAATGCAAATAGTTCCGTGAGCCTCACAATCAATAATAAAAAAAATACTGCAAGGTAGTAGAGGGGGAATATTTTGACATGCACAGCCAAACACAAAATCACATCTACGCTATACTCATTAATTCCTTTTTATTACTATTTCATGGAAAAAAAAAAAAAAAAGACGTAATATGTTTACAATATTTCTACAAACAAATTTTTACCCAAAAAAGAAAATGGCTTCATGGCTTAGTGGCTTTGTGGACGCAAGTTGTAAAATACTGTGGCAAACGTTTTCTCGAGGATTGCTGAAACACTTTTCTTTGGATATATTTGTTGAGTATGACAAAGTAGCATTAACTATCCTGTGTGGTTTTTCCCACGTCTCAGCGCTGACATTCCCATTTTTTCGCGACCAAAGATGTGGCTCTGGGACTTGCTGTCACGTGTCAACCTTACAGATGTCTTCATACGGGATCCTGTCAATTCTCTTCCCTCGGTGGGGTCCCTGTGGGGAAACGAAAAAAACAAAGAAATAGGTATCCGACGTGTACGTGAATTTTTCCACCAAGAAAAGCGAACTGAAGTTCTTTTTTCCTTGTCAAAAAACATTTCCGAATCAAAACCAATTAGTACTTGATCATTTGTGTTTTCCACCCCTGGAGATCGTTTGCTTCTGCGTACTTTTAAGCTCTACTTGGTCTGAAGAGATTTCTCCATCGCTAAGAATGGGCCATGAAACAAACTTGATTCAGGCGTCAAGATAATGAAATAACAACTGGTCTATACAGCATGTTGATGCTCAACTAATCACTAATAGATAAAACACTTAACAGTGAGTCAATTTGACCAACCAAATCTTTTTTTAGCTTACATCTTTCAACTCTACGGCTACAGAGAAGGTCTTTTCATCCAAGGACACAAGCGAAGCTCTTGCTCCTCTGTAGGCACCGTTTACAATTAAGACAGCCTTTCCTGGAAATAAAATAAATGCAATTAATACCTCCAAAACCATACACGTCAAGAAACAACAGTTTTTATTTCCCTAACGTTACTCAAATTAACAGAATTCGATTAAGAATCAGTGTAACAAACAACGAAAACAAACAACACCACTCAAATAAAGCTTAGAGTATACCTGACATTAACCCTTCACTCCCTTACATCAGTATGCATATTCTCCATACAACTCCCTGAACATTTCTTAGGGTTCTGACAAGGAGAATTTGTTCAACAATCTAAGACTTCTTCAGCTGGTAACCAGGAATTAGTCTGAGAATGACTAACTTTATTTCCGAATATATTACTAACTCTTCCCCTATCCCTTCATGGGGAGGCACGTGGGAAAAGCCGACCTCCCGTCGGTCTTTTCGTCATGTACGTACCACCAACACTCGTCCCCATTTCTCCTGCGCATCTCGAGACCTTAAGATTATCACAGACATTTCCCCTAAAGGACGGATACCGGTCAAGTTATTGAAGCAACAGTACCTATGGCTGGTATGACTGTTTCCAAGTGTTCCTGATCCACTTTGAGAACATCTCCGCCATCTGACATCTTTATCACGGCTACAAATAGATTCTTAATGTCCTGCGGTAAAAACAGGAAGGTTGGGAACAATCAAATAATGTGACAAAGTTCTTGATGTTGTTGAAAATTAGATGGCGACGGCGGCTGCAGACGATGGCAGCTCTATGAGAATCTGGTTTTCCATAAAGATAATAACCTCTTGCTTGTTTATCTGTCTATTCTTACTGGTTGAAGAATTGTAAGAAGTGGTCATGTGACCAATGCTTCCGGTAGTTTCAGGGTGAAGACAGTAAGATCGCCTTCGTAAAGACGCATTCAGTCCATATAGATCATTCGTTTAAATCAGACTGTAACGAACGGTATTTTAGATTCATACCTTTATTGTTCCTTTCTTTTTGTAGTATTTTTCTCCAACTTTTTTGGTCATGATTTTCACAACGATTCCCTGCAAATGAACGCCAGAAGATAAGTTCATGCAATGATTCACATTACCATGATAAATTCTTTGCAGTCGTACCATCAATACTATACTATCGTTATTATTACTTTAGTATACTATTTTTATTATACTGCCACTACAATAGAAAGAGTTCACCACTCCTAGTTCGTTCCTTCCCTCGCTCATTCGTTTGTTTGTGGGTTCGTTAGTTCGCTGGCTCATTCGGTTTTTCGTTGGTTTATTCGCTGGTTCATTCGGTCTTTCGTTCGTTTATTCGCTGGTTCACTCGGTATTTCGTTCGTTTGTTCGCTGGTTCACTCGGTATTTCGTTCGTTTGTTCGCTAGTTCATTCGGTCTTTCGTTCGTTTGTTCGCTGGTTCACTCGGTCGTTCTTTCGTTTGTTCGCTGGTTCATTCGGTCTTTCGTTCGTTTGTTCGCTGGTTCATTCGGTCTTTCATTCGTTTATTCGCAGGTTCGTACGTTCGATCGTTCGTGTGTTCGCTAGTTCGTTTGTCCTTTCGTACGTTCATTCGTTCGTTCGGTCTTCACTCGCTGGGTTGCCATCCATTTCACCTCGTATCTATCTTTTACTTACTTTTGCAATCCAGTTGTCCTTTCGGCTTATCTTCATCTTTTTTTGCTCTTCCATCTTAAGGAAAAAAAATGAAGAGTTTATTAGTAAAACGAAAGTATTCCCTTTTGGTCCACGTCTGAGAGGTAAAAAACCGTCTGTCAGTTCTGTAACATGACAACTTTTTTCGATGAACTTACTTCCATTATCTCCTCTAGCGCCGATTTCCGCTTTTGACTAGAAATTAAAAACAAAGTTCTGTACATTATTTCTAGCGCTAACTAGGAACAGAAAACTTTCACCAGTGCTAAGTTAGCTCCCCTCGCTTGTAAAACACTCCTCTGTCTAAAAAACAATGAAACACGTAAATAAACGAAAAAGAACGCATGAAAGACAAAGCAGTTGAGATTTCTTTGTTTTCGTTGACGTCCTCTTCAAAAAACTTCGACTAAATGAAAGTTTGTTAAATTAGGGATATATACTTTATTGTCGAAGCCTTCATAACAGACATTCATCGTCTTGTCACGGCACCCTCTAGACAAAAACTTTCACTCCAAAACAAAATCTTTATCTACATATTCAAACAAACTGACGGCCCCAGTTGAGAACACATGTCTGCAATTCAATAGGAGCCAAAAAAAAAAAAAAAAAGGAAAAACGAAGATCCCCTCCAATTGTTCAAACAGTTTCAATACCTTTCTTTGGCTTTTTCTTTCTCTTTCTTCTTTTCCTTCGGCATCAAACTCGCTGACATAATTGGATTTGGCAGTCCAATTGACCTCGACTGCATTGCTCTAATATTACAGATTACAACAGTGAAGGTTAGTTCCTGCATGGTGTTCAAATCTGGTCTCTGTTAAGGCCTGGTAATTTTTTTCCGGAAACTGCCCAGTTTACACTCTTCTTAAGGTGATCAAAGCTAAAAATCGAAACTAGCAGACAACGCTTTGAACGCGTGTTTAAAGAGACTGAACTTCGCTGAGATATTTCGCTGAGATATTTCGCTGAGGAAAGTTGGCTTAAGAAATCTTAATGCATAGTAGCAAATAAGTTACCTATAATTATGGTAACAATGTGTACACTAACAAATTAATTATAAACACTCCCTTATTCTTTTATCGTTAAAGGGGATAAAAACGTGATGTCCCTCAGAGAACTCACAGGAACTGAGAGGTTTCCTTAGTCCAGAAATACAGGTATGATTAAATACTGGCAAGGATTTTTTGAGGACAAAATTCTTACAAAACTCGGTTGACATTTTTTCTTTTAGTAATGTGCTTACCCGCTGGGGCCTGGATCAGACTCCTTCTTCTTTGCCGCCGGCATAAGGAACGTCACTAAAAAAAAAAGAAAATTACAATTTATTTGATTTTGGAGAAATTTTCCAATGGGCGTCGAAAGTAAGCCAGGATCGCTTTGGTTTTATTGCACTTTACTTTGCAATTAGTCTAGAAAATCTCGCCATTCTCTCGACCAATCAGATGCAAGAATAAAAACAATCGCGACTTGGTCGATCGCGTTTTCCCGCGCTAAGCAGTTTGAGTTCTCATTGGCTAACGATAATGTTTATCTTTGTTCTGACTGGTTGCTGGGTTCAAGTTTTTTTACTGCTCTAAAATATTACCATAATAATAAATTGACAAACAGAATTTCCAAATTGCTTAGAGAGTACTGTAGAATCCCATTGAATTGCTTTTCTATGCTCAGTGATTGGTCTAAAACATTCCCACAAAATAAGAAGACCACATCCTCAGAGAGCTGGGGACAAACAAGATGTTATCAGATCAAAGAGGTTAACCCATTAACCCCTAAGAGGAACAAGCTTTTAAATTCTCCTTACATGATCACCCCTAAATCAAACACTAAGGTCGCAAGAATAAGGGAAATGATCACCAACTATTAAGAAGCTCTTAATCTCCATATCAGCAACTTAGGATTTGTGTTGAGAACAGTACTGAGAAGATGCATGTTGATGTCAGGGTGTGAATGATTAACCCTTGAACTCCCAGAAGTGATTAAGTTAATCAATAATATGCAACTTCTCCATACAATACCCATACATTATCCAACAAACAGGCAATGAGAATCTGCAAACTTATCAGGTATATAAGTTATCATTCAAAACGGCAAGGAATAAGGAAATGTGTAGCAGTAGATAACTAACAATCAATCTAGCAAACCTTTTTCCTCTTCATTGTCTCGTTTGAGCTCTGTGAAGACTGGTTCTGGCTAAACAAAACAAACAAATACTATAAAAAAATGTGTATTTACTAAGGGTTTGAAAGACACTATTGAAATAATAAGAAGACATTTTTGTTCAAGACAAACCTCATCTACTTTCCTCGCTCTTTCTCTTTCAATTTGCCTTTCCAGAAGCTTAGCTGTTGAACAGTAAATAAATTTGCTTATTGGTCAGATGCATTAAATATAATATGTTTGCCATGTACAATTAAAATAATAAAATCTCTGTGCATACTCTCTGAAACATTCATGTTTGCAGGTCTGAAATATTGTAAATTCGGTTGGTGAAATCACAATCTAAATGGAAGAAAAAACATCAGATGCAAGCACACCCCATCAAATCCCTAGAAACACTAGTAGCAGAAGTGATGAAAAGAGGTGATGAGTTTCATTGAAATCAAATTAAAATGTTCTTTATTTACATATCACATCTTAAAACTTTAGCACCAAGGAAGCTTACTTCGTCTTTCCTCATCATCCATCTCCATCTTTTCTTTAGCCGCAGCTGCCTAAATATAAAGTAACAAGTACATGTACTACCTTTCCATTTGCACCCAAGAAATTAAGATTTAAAATTCTATTGAAAGGATAATGATGGCATTAACTACTGGATCCTATCAAACAGTTGATGATGGTTTTCTTTGCCCTCTTTAATCCGTCAGCTCTTAAAGTTTGTAACAGGGTAATTTGGTTTTATCACCTGAGTAGATAAGTAAACCTAAATTAGCAACTGTAAAGAGTTCCAAAGCTGACACTTTTTAGCCTTAGCCCTTTGTCTGAGCAAATGGCAAAGGGCTAACACTTGAAATGTCAGCTTTGAATTTCTTTACAGTGGCCAATTTACGTTTTTAACTCAGTTGATAAAACCAAATTACTATTTTATACTCTCCCACTGACGCAGCACCACAGTTTATTAACAAACTTACCCTTTTATACAGTGATAACAATAAAATTTTGGGCTCTACCATATGTACCTTTTGCCTCTCTATGGTGTCAGGATCCCTGTCGATGTATGCAATAAACCACCCTTTTTCTGTTTCATCTACCTTGCAGTGTCCTAATTGAAAAAAAAAAAAGCAATTATAAGGAGATGAAAATTGCTTTACACTCTAACATCAGTATCCATATTCCCCATACTCTCTTCTATACATAATCTTTGGTACTGACCAGGAGAATTAGTTTAACAATCAAAGTTAGTTAGGTTCACTTGTTTTTAATTTTAATAAAAATTTAATTTTATTCACCTTATCTTAATGAATGATCAGCGGTATTATGGTGAAATTAGATGCTCATCACTCCTCAGGGTTAGAGGATTAAATCAGTTCACATTACATTTAGCAATAACTTAGGCTTTGTGCATAAAAGTGAATAACACATAACTTACCTTCCTTCCCCAGCCACTTTACAAATTCAGTTAGAGTTTCCCACTAAAAAAAACATGTTTAGCATTAATCAAATCATAATGTAATAAAATATAAAATAATACATACAAAGGTATAATTGTTAAATATCTAATAATCAAATACAGATAACAATGAAATATTGATTCATTTGTGATAAGCATGAGACAAAAAAGCCAAGACTTTTTCTGTAGTCAACAAAGTCCTACACTAACCTGAGTTGCATTCATGTGAGTATGATGCCTGTCACTGATGTAATCCTGATAAACTTGATTAGCCCTCACTCTACGAGTTCCTAAAAAAAATAAGTGTTGCAAGAAATTACGTTTTATTTGTTACTGATGGAAGGGGTAAAGGTTTGGGATATGGTCTTCACATTTGAACTGTTTTTTTTCTTTCTTTTATTTTACCACTTCTTTGAAACCAAAATTCTTGCAATGACAGGATTACATGAAAAAATGTTTTGGAAATATTTCTTAGCTTGTGAAAGCTCCCTAATACAGAAAAAAATTCTGTGTTTTCTGAATCAAAGTTTAAAACCCCTCTCCAATAAAAAATTTTTTCATCCACCGTGATGGTCCATGGTATTGCATACTTTGTAGTTTAAGTGTATTCAAGAAAACCTACAGTGCAGAACTCTGGTTATCAACAACATCAAATGGTGACCCATACAAGCTTGGATGAGAGTTCACTGTAAAGATAAATTTGTATCTTCTATCATCCCCTGCTCTGAGTGTCACCTCTCTTTTTAAAGCTTTATTACTCCCAGAGGTGATTCGCATGTAACTTCTCCCTATAATACGCACACATTATTCAGGATACAGGTAAAGAGAATACTTAAACTTAAAAGGTACACTGTAAAAGATTTTATCGTGATCCAAAACCAAATTCTTGTCACTAATTTTGAAGCAAATGTGTAACAACTAAAGGGGAGAATTAACAATCAGATCTTTGGAATTGAAGGGTTAACTGTTACATAATACATGTCATAATCTGTAATGTTCCAATTAATCCAGTAATCCAACTATTGAAGTTAATATTCTCTAATGCTTTGTCTGATTTTCAAGTCATAAGTAAGTGACAATACAAAATAAATGTTTTTGTTGATGTTTTTGTTGTTCGTTTCTGTTGAACTGCAGGTGTATAACATGAAATACCATGGACCATTGAGGGCAGATACAAGAACAAACGTGGATGAGTAACAAACAAGATCAAAATACAAATACAAAATACACCAATGACAGTGCTCCAAAACACACCAAAAACAGGAAACCAAGGTGCTATAAATAGCAACACATAAACTTTTGGCCTCATCACCCAACAAAGACTATCAATATAGCATTTGAAATGTTGGGATGAATATAATAGATAGCCTGACTCTACATCATGTGAAAAACGATTTAATTTTCATTTTACTACCAATTAAACCAAGATGAACGACAACATTTATTATAAAGATGTTGCTGCTCTTGGTTGAAAAACTTTGCTTAGTTACACTCAGCCTCTTTTCACTTCTGAATAGGAATAGGAGTGTATTTCAGAGACTAATCGTTTAGAAAATTTGACCAAGTGATGGAAGTTAGCCACGACAAACAAGAGAAAAGTGTAAAATACGGTAACACCACATCACATACCAAACTGTCTCTTCAAAAGCTTTAGAAAAGTATCTTGGAACTCCCTGACAATTGAAAACATAAAGAACTTGTGTCAATACTCTCTTAAACCTGCCACCAGTGAAACACAATAATTAATCATGAAAAGGAATTTTTCAATCTTCGCGCTTTCAGTAAATATGGGGCTGTGTGGTAATCTTAGAATTACATTGTCCAAGGCCACTGAGGTAGGCATTGTTAGCTGTCATCGATAAACAAGAAATATTTATAACGCCTGCTTTTGATTCAATGATATGTAAATAAGTAACCCTGTACTCTGTATTTTTGCCTAAATTATAATAATCACGGACACAGTACTAAGCCTACATGTATAATTATCAATAAAAGTGAAAATTCACCTACTTGGAGAAAGTATCCATGTACTTGTCGACATCTTCTGCTAATAGCAGAAGCTGGCGTTGGTGTGATTCCGACATAGTGTGGCACTTGAATCCATTCTTTCTCAAGAAAAAGTTAAGGAGAGGTACATGAAATTTTATTCGGTTCACAAGTATCTATGTCGACTTTAAAAATTCCAGAATTGACTTCACAGAACATAACTATACCTCATCTCGGCATTGTTTCTGACACATTTGACAATACCATCGCAGCTTCTGCAAACCTTTAGCTTTAATCCTATTCGATATGGCTTTTGGTGTTAATGCTCCTGCCTTTTCTTTGCCCATGCTGTGAGTTTTAATCTACAAAATTATTAAGATGACCTGCTCTTTACAACTCAAACGTTCACATCGTCCGTCCGCCATGTTTGTAAGTTAAACCAACATGCAATGCGTGATGTGGCTAGTGCCAGATTCCTCACGTCCGAAGCTGAAGGTATCAACTGAATATACTAATGTGAAACAGCTATTTTTTTCAATGTTAATTTTATAATGATGCAATTTGACCTATATTTTATGTCATGGTTTGCAAAAATATTGTTTCACCTTAGTACTTTTTATCTCGATTATTTGAGAATATTATATTAGAATTTGTAGGCATAACACAGCTATTTCAACACAGTTTCGAAATGTAAGCTTGTTTGTGACATAAAAAAATGATCTTTAGGTCATATGGTATTTCCATCCAACAAATATTACAGAATATTTTACGTTTAATCAAGTTTACCTTTTGCACCGTTTCCAATTTTCAATGATTCTTCTAGCCCACGGAAAAAGGCTGGCGTAAGCTATAGCTCTTGTAAAGCCTTGTCACGCGATCTAGACTAAACTGTTCCTTCGTGTTTCCACCGTTTACAAATCACATATCCGGTATCTATAACTCCACTTACAAAGTTTTAGAATACGGAAACCCTATAAAAAACAATCAACTTTTAAATCGAAGCGCAAGGAAGTCAAGGTCTAACTTGTCATTTTGGGCAAAGGCCACTTTTATGGGGAATAATTGAGTAACGGTAGAACCAGTGTAATTCAATTTTCCACTACCTCAGAAAGAAAATAACCTCTCAAATTATTTTTCTAAACATAATCAGTTAATGCTAACAACTTTGTTAACACAGCTGTTCGTTCTATTTTCTCTCCTTATTTATCCAGAAATGCTTTCTATACAAACAAAATTACCAGTTATTACATAATTCCACCTCGCTTGAATCATTCACAATTAGTAGGGCTTGATGCTGGAGTTAAGAGTGAGTGTTGGAGGATATCAGCTCTTAGGGAAGACATAAGCACGCTGCTGGTTTTGTTTTTCATCGTTACCTTCCACCAAATTTCGCTCACGCAGAGGTAGGATCTGGAAGCTTTATGCTTTCTTGCTTTTATGCTGCTTTTTTAGCTAAGCGGAGGCAAGTGCGAGATGAGAAGCACAGGCAAGTCCTTGCGCAAAGTTCGACTTCTCCCTTTGCATACGAATCACCTCTTGTGTTCTTCTCCAGCTTGTTATTATTTACCTTCATGTTTCCGTGTGAAAGATCTCGATTGGCACAAAAGGTAACATACTCTTGATGAGGTACATGGTAACTGATTTAATTGCGAAAAATGAAGTTTAAAAGATGACATTAATGTAATGAAAGGCAACAGTTCTAAACTTTGAACTCGTAAATTAGTTCATATTATGATTGTCGTATAAATAAGGTGCTGTTGCAACTCGTATACTATGTACTGAAGGATGAGAAATCCACATTTCATATACATTTCCTATGGTGCTGTCGAAGAGAATTTGTTTAAAAATCAAGAGCTTCTTTAGTTGGTGATCATTTCCTTTATTCTCATGACTTCACGGTTTTTTTTTATAAGGGGGGGATACTGATCGGAGAAAATAGTTCCTAATCTCTCTCAGGGGTCAAAGGGCTAAGAGAAGCGGTGGTCTGACAGATAAAGTTTCGGAATCCAGGTTAATCTGTTTACTTACATGATAAAAATAGCAGTTTCCTTCACTACCTTTGATAGCTTTCAAATAGCCTTGAAAATGTTGAATAATAATAATAAAAAAATATCCTAACTGATATTTTGTATAAAAATTTCTTGCTGGTCGATCCTGAGGGTGAGATGGGTAAGAAATACCCCGAGTTTGATCTTCATGTTCCAGAATATGGCACGTAACTCTGCCATGTCCTAACTTTAACAAAATCTTGTGAAATATTAAGAGAAACTCACGTAAGGGACTGGTTACAGAAATAAGAGAGATTCTGAGGGGAAACTGGGAGAGGAACGTGACAAATTCTACGCGAAACCCACGTAATAGAATAAATTCAGCAATTTGAATAAGCTCTGGTAACTGGGTAGATTATAAATGATTTCTTGGCTCTAGTAGCTTCTCACAATGATATGAAGTTTCACATCTTCCCATCGAAGTCATCTACGGAATGCTCTTTAGCTCTTTCATGCGATTTTGATTCTTTTTAGCTGACACAAAGCTACGGCCAAGACTACAAAGTTACAGTACTGCAAGATAAAATGGACTTTGTGATTGTGCCGGTGATAAATCCTGACGGACATGTCTACAGCTGGGCCACTGAAGTTGGTTAACATTACATGGTCTTGATGCAAGTTAAAATAATTTTTTATAAGTCTGGTTTTACAATAGTCAGTCAGCGGTGTGATCATGTGCAGTGACCAAATGGTTTGCGGCTTGACTCCGGGTCTGAATTCGAGGTATGACCAGAGTCATTCTGTTTGGTTCTTATTTTAGGCTGCTATTAAAGGAAATTATTACAGTGCCTTTGTTCTCGAAGAAGTATTGATGAGTATTCGCGAACTGGACTACGAGCAGTCCCTCTTATACAACGAGGTTCGTAGCGCGAGTCAAAAAAGAATCACTCTCTTGCGACGGACATCTCCAAAATGGGAAGGAATGCTTGAAGTCTACACGCAAACTGTCAGAGAAACATAAAGAAATGCTCGGTAGTGATCTGCGATGAAATAGCATCCCGTGCGCGGGTGTACTGGAAATACTCATAGGACAATTACTGTAAGGAAAACGTACATACTAATGTTAGGGTGTAAAGGTTTAATAGCAAAAGAGTAAGAATAAGATTCCTGAGCGTTTTAATCCTCTAAAAAATCTTCCTCTGTCGCTAATAATTCCAGACAGTTTTTTTTTAAAACTCCAGTCACCTCATATCTACAGGTCCAACCTGCCAGCATACTATGCAAGCGGATTTAGTGTTTTTAAAACATATTTAACCACGGGATGTAAAGAATCATTGTTAGATAATTCACTCAGTTTCCTTAGTAGAGCGAAACAAATCCGCTAGTATCTACAATGGAATCGTGGGAGAGAGAACAGAACATTTCTGACGTGAAACCGCTAAAAAAAATTCTACATTTCAAATCTATCTGTAGACAAAAAAAAAAAAAAAAAAATTAAACCAAGCCCGATCTCTTTTGCCAATCGCAATTAGAAGTCTCATAAAGCAAGTGCTATTTTATGGAGGTTAAAAACAAATCATCATTAAGGGAGTCAAGTAGTTGTATTTATTACAAAAGAAGTGTTTTTTCGTTTTCAAAAGGATTTCCAGCTCTTAGAAAAGCCTTAACTGCACTCGTGTAAAATTACGATAATTTTCTTTACATGTGTTTGATATCGCTAATCAGCTGCTGACACGTCACTCGCCTTTTGCGCCACTCTATCAGGTTTATGAATGAATTGCAGAGTTTTCACCATTAATACAGATGACTTTTCTTGTCAACAAAGGCTTATATTGTTTGTATAGTAAAAAAAGATAATAATACATGGCTCCTCTCGTGTTCAACTTCTTCGTGGCGCTCACTCGTGAGCTATCGAGTTGAAAGCTTGAAGAGAAGTTCTATATCTACACGCGCCAAGTATTATTCTCTATTTTCAAGAGGTTCAGTATCAAAGGAGAGTGTATAGCTTAAAATGAAACTAATTTATAATCAAATCTCAATAAGATCTCTAGTTTCGTAGGCATAATTCATAAAGGCAAGAGGCACCATTCTTTTGGTGTTAAATCTCGTTAATTAGCAGGAAGGCATGTGAAGTTGACATCTGGCTGATGCAACTAATTTCAGTGAGATAAAAGCAACCAAACTTTAAAGAAAAACATTTTTAATCTACTTCTTCAGTCAATTGTGTTCAACCTTAAATTAAAAAGTAACATAAAACATGTTTGCTCTTGTGATTAACAAGAGTATTTTTGTTAACAAACGTAATAAATAAAAAAATTAAAATATATTTACCGCGAAGTAAATTTAGACAGAAAGGAAAAAAAGTAAGATTTGTTTATTGCAAAATTATTGGGATTTTCAGTTTGCGTTGATCAGTGATTTTTCGGATCAAGTAAATGGTGTCAGCCTACGTAAAGTTCTTCTTACAAAGGACAATGTAAGACTTTGTAAAACCCTTCTCATTAGCAAAAGCAATAACAGAAGCTGACAGTGAAAAATGATAATTTGACTTGACTGTTGTTGAGTAGCGGGCCTAGAAATGATTTTCAAAACAATGAACTCTGTAGATAAATTATTACCGCCGAGGGAAATTGCATAAATTTTTACTAGACCCTTGTGGAGAATTTTTCCTCCTTATCTTATCTCGCCATTGTTCAAGTCGAAACTAAAGAGATCTCGACTCCTAAAACGTTAGGGCTTCAGCCCGGACCAGAAAGAAATTTGACCCAAGAGTACGTGATAAAAACAAGAATTTCAAGATGATGGGATAAGTGGTTATATCCATATACAAGCTGAGGTAAAGTGCTTTATTTAAAAGTTTAACCTCAAGTCATCTGTGTTTGTATGCATGCAATCCAAGTTATTACGAACAATCTTACACGCTGCTTGCCATGCAGTTTGTATAATTTAGAAGTTGCGCTATTAAATTCGAGATCAGCTTTGTTCGAAGAAAAGTGAAATGCATGCAAAAATAGGTTTATAAGCAAAAATCGGGAAAAGATGACAATTTCATTCAAACGAGAAGCAACCTTTTCCTCTTTCATCGGCCGTTTATACAATTTCTTTTTATTCATATCATTTAAGGTCTACTTCTTAAAAGAGATTGCTGTGCACAAGAAAACATAGTAAGTGAATAAATTGATGCGCAAAAATAGATCAGTAATGAATTTTAAAAGTTTAAGTTGAAAAGTTTTCATTTTTTTGTATTTTAAAATAAGGTGAAAGGTTTTCATTACCTTAATTTATTCTGAAGACAAGTGTAGATAACACACGATGGACAAATTCAGAGGATTATTGATATCACAAATAATTTTAAAAAGTAAAAAACGGAAGCTTTGCTCACTAAAAGGCTTCGGGAGCTTAAATAGTGCGGAATCTGAAAGCGAAATCGAAACCTCTTA